AATATCTAAAAAATAAAAATTACTTTTTAAGAAAAAACTTTTTAAAAATTCATATTTATTCCCCGAAAATTATTCTATGTAAAAATTTTTCGTTGAAATAAATATAAATTTTTAAATAAGTGATTTTTTGAATAAATTAAATTAATTTTTGTAGCTATTTTTAAAGTAATTAATTTTTGAAGGAGAGCAATAAAACAATAAAATATTTCTAAATTAAAATCTTTAAGCAATTAAAAATTTGTAAGTAAGAAATTGTTAAAATAATAAATTTTTTAAATAATTAATTTTTGTAGAGATACATTTTTAAAAGCTTTTGAAAAAATTATTTTTAATTATTTAATTTTTGCCATAATAAAATTTTTAAATTATTAATTTTTGAAGCAACAATTTATAAATAATTAATTTGTTGAAATGAAGTTTTAAAAATTTTTAATTTAATAAATATAAAAATTCCAATAATTAATTTAAGAAGAATTAATTTTAATAATTTTATATAAAAATTATTAAAAAAATAATTTTAAATAAAAATTATTAAAGAAAATAAATATATATTTTTTAAATAATTAAAGTTTGAAGAATAAAAGTAAATTTTTAAAAATTTCTCCTTCAAAAATTAATTAATAAAAAAATAAATATTTGAAAAAATTTTTGAATAAATAAATATAAATTAAAAAAAATAATATTAGAAGGAAAATGAAAAAGGGAGGAAAAATTTATATCTTTTTTACACTTTAAATAAATAAACAAAACAAAAAGGAAAGACAGGAAAAATTAAAGATAAAAAAGTTTGGATAAATTATAAACAAATATGTTTAAATAAATTCTGATAGATATTATAAAAATGTGCAAAAAAACCAAAAAATATTGTAATGTGCAAAAAAACGCATTTTTGATCTTTAATTGAAAATATTTGTTTATAATTTATCCAAACTTTTTTATCTTTAATTTTTCCTGTCTTTCCTTTTTGTTTTGTTTATTTATTTAAAGTGTAAAAAAAGATATAAATTTTTCCTCCCTTTTTCATTTTCCTTCCAATATTATTTTTTTAAATTTATTTATTTATTCAAAAATTTTTTAAAAATATTTATTTTTTTAGTAATTAATTTTTGAAGGAGAAATTTTTAAAAATTTACTTTTATTCTTCAAACTTTAATTATTTAAAAAATATATATTTATTTTCTTTAATAATTTTTATAAAAAATTATTAAAATTAATTCTTCTTAAATTAATTATTGGAATTTTTATATTAAAATTATTTATTTAATCAAAAATTAAATATTTAAAAATAATTTTACTTCAATAATGACTTAATTAAAATTTTTATTTAATCAAATTATTTAAAAATAATCTTTATTCAATGATTTAGTAATTTTTCTTGGATATTTAAAAACATTTTCTTCAACAGAAAATTTAATTATTTAAAATAATTTTTCAACAAAAAGTTACAAATTCTTCTTGGAAAATTAAAAAAATATTTTCTCATCAAAAAATTAGGTAGGTAAAAAATTTTTTCTTCTAAAAATTGAATTTTTAAATTATTTTTCTTCAAAAATTAATTACTAAAAATTTGTTTTGAAACATAAATTATTTAAAAATTTTTTTCAAAATTTTAAAAATATTTTTTAATCGAAAAATTTTTTTATTTTTCTTCTAAAAATTGAATTTTTAAATTATTTTTCTTCAAAAATTAATTACTAAAAATGTGTTTTGAAAAATAAATTATTTAAAAATTTTTCTTCAAAATTTTAAAAATATTTTTTAATCGAAAAATTTTTTTATTTTTCTTCTAAAAATTGAATTTTTAAATTATTTTTCTTCAAAAATTAATTACTAAAAATTTGTTTTGAAAAATAAATTATTTAAAAATTTTTCTTCAAAATTTTAAAAATATTTTTTAATCGAAAAATTTTTTTACTTTTCTTCTAAAAATTGAATTTTTAAATTATTTTTCTTCAAAAATTAATTACTAAAAATGTGTTTTGAAAAATAAATTATTTAAAAATTTTTCTTCAAAATTTTAAAAATATTTTTTAATCGAAAAATTTTTTATTTTTCTTCTAAAAATTGAATTTTTAAATTATTTTTCTTTAAAAATTAATTAATGTAAATTTTTCTTCAAAATTTTAAAAATATTTTTTAATCAAAAAATTAAATAGGAAAAATTTTTTTTCAAAAAATAATCTTTATATTATTTTGTCAAAAAATTATTTATAATTTTTTATACAAAATCAATTATTTATATTTTATTCAAAAATCAATTATTTAAAAATTTCTTAAAATTCTGAAAAGATATTTCAATTCGAAAATTTAAAAATTTTACTACATATTAGACATAAAATCTAATTTTTAACATTTTGTTTTATTTGTATATAAAATTTAGTTTCTATTAAACATATATAAAAATTAAATATTTTAAAATTTATTTAATTTTATTAAAAAATAAAAAAAATATTTTAAATCCTAAAAATTTATATAAAATTAAAAATTATGAAAATATTCAGTTCAAAATTTTATAAAATAAATATATTAAAAATATTTTAAAAATTTTAATAAACATTAAAAATTTTAAAATTTCATTAATTGTTAAAAGTAAATATTTGGAAAAAACTTAATTAAACATTTAAAAACAAAATCAAAAATTTTTAATAATATGTTTTATTTAATTAAAAGGTGGATATGAAAATATAGGATAAATTAATGGGATAGAATATGGGAAGGATAGGTTAATGAATAATAAATATTAAAATTTTCTGGCTACTTTTATATGGCTCATTCAGGCAGAAAATCCAAAGTACACTCCAATAAATCAAAGATTGTTTAAACCAAATGTGTTTATTTTTTGGTTTAATTTGTTTATTTTTTGGTTATATAAAAAATTTAAAAATTTTAGGAGAGATATTAGGATATAAACACTTTGATTAGTAATTCTATACTATATTTATTTGTTTTTACGGAAGAACTTTGCTTTTTTAGCGAGCAAAGGCTAATCACCATTGTTTAAACAAAGTTACAGATATAAAAAATATGAATAATTGTTTTTAAAATAAACAGAGCGATAGACTGCACTGTTTTCGCAAAAAAAGAGCAAAGTTTTTCCGTAAAAACTAATAAAAATAGTATAGGATTACTAATCAAAGTGTTTATATCCTAATCTCTCTCCAAAATGTTTAAATTCAATCCTTCAATAAACACATTTGGTTTAAACAATCTTTGATTTATTGGAGTGTACTTTGGATTTTCTGCCTGAATGAGCCATATAAAAGCAGCCAGAAAATTTTAATATTTATCATTCATTAATTTCACTTTCCCCTTTTATAATATTTTAATAATTACTCTTTTATATTATTTTAAATTACTTACCCCATCCATTAAAATAGCTCCAACCTTAATTTATTTTTTTAATTTTTTAAAATTTGACTTAATATAATTTTAGTTTTTTAAAATGTAATTACCCACACATAACTATTAAATATTTTAAAATCCGTTTTAACATTTGGCTTTTCATAATTTAAAAATTTTCTTTTAGAAGTTAACCTCACACTTTTTAAGTTTTTAATAAATAACCAACCATTCATAGCTTTTAAAACATGTAAATTTATTTCAATAAGCCCATCCCCCCTTATATTTTTAAAAATTTTCAAAAAGTAGTAACCCCTACCCTCATTTTTTAAAAATTTTTAGCCCCGCCGCTTATAATTTTTAAAATTTTTCTATCCGTGAGTAACCCACACTTCCATAATTTAAAAATTCTAATAAATAGTAACCCTACCCACCTCATATTATTTAAAAATATTTCAATAAGTAGTTACACCCCTACCCACCTCATATTTTTTAAAAATATTTCAATAAGTAGTTACCCCTACCCACCTCATATTTTTTTAAAAATATTTCAATAAGTAGTTACACCCCTACCCGCCTCATATTTTTTAAAAAATTTCAATAAGTAGTAACCCTGCCACCCTCATATTTTTTTAAAAATATTTCAATGAGTAGTTACCCCTAACCACCGCATATTTTTTTAAAAATATTTCAATAAGTAGTTACCCCCTACCCACCTCATATTTTTTAAAAATATTTCAATAAGTAGCTACCCCCCCTACCCACCGCATATTTTTTAAAAATTTTCAATAAGTAGTAACCCCCTACCCACCTCATATTTTCAAAAATTTTTCAATAAGTAGTTACCCCCCTTCATTCTTTTTAAAAATCAGTAGTTAGTCCCCCCGCTTCATATACTTTTCAAAAAGAACCCTAACCCCTCATATTTTTTAAAAATTTTCAATAAGTAGTAACCCTCCCCTTATATTTTCAAAAATTTTTCAAAAAGTAGTAACCCCCCTTCATTCTTTTTAAAATTTTTAAAGCAGTAGTTAGTCTCCCGCTTCATATACTTTTTAAACAGAACCCTAACCCCTCATATTTTTTAGAAATATTCAATAAGTAGGAACCCTCTTCATTCTTTTTAAAATTTTTAAAGCAGTAGTTAGTCCACCGCCGCATACTTTTTAGAAAGTTTTAATCATTAGTAACCCTAAACCCCCATATTTTTAAAAAATATTCAATTTAAAAATATTCAACCCTACCACCGCATATTTTTTTATAAATTTTCAATAAGTAGTAACTCCTCCTTCATTCTTTTTAAAATTTTTAATGCTCTCTTTCAACTTTTCAAAAATTTTCATTTAGTAGATACACTTAATACTTTTAAAACACTTTTCAATTAGTATTAAATCCCAACGCGCCACACTTTTTAAAGATTTTTCAATCAGTAGTTTTACACTTAGTTTTAAAACATTTTTTTAAATGAGTTGTAACACTAATCTAAAACATTTTCATAATAGTTAAACCCCGTCCCTTGTACTTTAACTTTGTCACCTTTCGTTTTATATTCAAATTTATTAAGCATTTTTATTTAATAGCTCATAGATTTGCAGAAAATGGATCAAACCGTGGATTTCAATTCTCGCGGCAATAATAAAGGTAAATGATAAAATCGCTAAATGTTTAATTTACATATGGCATTATTATCATTTACAGAAGCAACGATTACGGACGACAGGGATGGAGATACTCGTAATATGCTCAATGATGATTGTTCTGTGAAGGCAGTAACTCCAATAGAAGGTGATTTTTTACTTATTTTTTATGTTAAAGGAATTTTAGCTATAACTATTGCGGAGCTGGAAGAAGTTCGTGCTTTCATATTTGAACAGCGAAAGAAGAAGGAAGCCGCTGAAGCGCGCCGGAGACGCTCAATCACAAAATCAAGTACTACACTAAGTTCAGTATCTTCTAAAAGCAAGCCGCCCACCTCAAAAAAGATGCAAATTAAAAAAGTCAAAAAAGCTGGTCATAATGATGGAGTGATAAAAGTAAAAAATTTGAATGTTATTTCTAAAATTCAAAAAATTAAGGCAATTGTTGAGCGTAACAAAAACGAAGAAAATATTGAGCCCGTTGATGACGTAATGATGGACTATGAGGATGAAGAGGATGATTCTGAAGATCCAGACCCCAATGAAATCATTGATTTAGACGATAATGAGGAAGAGTACAAGAAAATGAAATCTGAGCGTATGTTAACATTAAGTTTATAAATAAATCTATTTCAGGCCAACAACGTGCAATGAATTTAGTGCCAGAAGGTATCCTCAACCGTGCACAAATTCTTAAGGAGCCTAGAAAAGGACTGTTCATATACCAATGCTCTGAATGTCGCGAGGATCAAAAGAAGAGAGAATACTTTTTATTCAAATGCGGGAGTTCAGATAATGCAATCCTTACAATGGAATTGTGCGCTGAGGATTTGGACAAAAATATTCTGCTGGGGATGTCTTATTCAGGCCCTTGGGGTAAATTAATACTTTAAAATAATAAACAAATTTTTTAAAGGACAAACAACAAAGAATTTGAAATATGATCAACAAACATCGAGCTTTGAAAAAGGTATAGAATTTTTAAAATTTTTTAATAATTATTTTTTAGTTGCGGGAGTCTTTTATGCTCGACGAGGTCCGAACATTGCTAAAGGAAATGACAACAAGCTTTTAAGCCTGTTGAAACTTTGTTGGATACTGCACCAGGTATATTTTTATAAAAATAAATAACTATTTTTACATTTAGTGTGATTATTGTAGCCGTTTACAAACGTCTCTGGCAAACGACTTGTTTTTGCAAAAATGTGGTGAAAAATATGAATTAAACTTTATTGTAAGTTTTAGTAAAAAACTAATTAATAAAGATATTTAGCTTTGTCCTATATGTTTGGCAGCAAACAAAGAATTTCAACAGAAAACATATAATTTATTCAACACTTTTAACAAGAACAAATGATTACAATATATTCTTTTGTTGAATAAAATTTTCTATTATTTTTTGAATTCTATTAATGGCGTTTTTTCGCTTATATTTTCAATTAAATTTCATCCTTTTTTAATTTATATTTTAGCTGAAAATATCTACACGGATTTGGAAAAATGTTTGATTAATTTCTTTTGTATTTTAAAGTAATATTTCAGATGGATCGACATGTGGCCGAAGTTGCTATTGAGTCACTCAAGGAAAAACGCATCCGATTAGCTCATCAACTTGAGGTGTTAATGGGAATAGAATTAGATGAAAAACAATTGAAAGAGGATTTTTATGCAGCATTTATTAAACATCACAGTAAACAATATCCTCAAATTACGATAGGCCGAATACACGAATACTTTTTGAAGCAGCGAAATGCTTTGGGAAGACAAGTTATTTTAAAAACTTATAAATTTAATTAAATATTTTCAAGGCGATTGTCGATGTTGTAAAGGATGAGTTGTACACTGCACTTGGCAACCCAAATAGCCAATTTTGGGAGCAAATAGATTTTGAAACGGCCATTGATATTTGTTGTTATGCGCGATACATAGATCCAAAGAAACGCAGAGGTATTTTTTAATTGAAGATTTTTGTAAATTGGATTTTCAGAAAATTCCCCAATTATTATTATGAATGATATAACCAAACGTGTTGAATCGCAACTTAACATCAATGAGGAAGGTGAAGGCACATCTGGGACTATTACCATGGAGCATGCAGAGGTTGCTAATATTTTTGAAAACAACGAGGATATGCAGACAGAAGATTGGTGAAAAATATTGTGATTTGTTTAAACATTATTTTCATGAAATAAATAATATAAAATTCATTCATTTTTAATTTAGCGTTAATTCGCAGTTATATTTTAAATAATTAATTTTTGTGCTAATTTAAAAAATAGATGAGTCGCTCAAAAATTGTTGGCGAATTTCCAATCAAACATTTTTACAATGAAGAAGTATCTGAGAACATCAAAAGCACAAAATTTAAAATAGGAGTTTTTAGGTATAATAAAAATTTGTATTAATTAAATTATAAATTTAAGAACTGTATTTACAGTTAGGAATGTCGATGACGCACCAGAGGGCAGTGATAAACTATTAGAAGATTTGGTAGATCACTTTCTTGCAAAGGCCGACAACGCTTCAGGTGCAAAATCTGAGAAGTGTTCAATCATAATAAGAAGTTCTGTTCTTGAAAAACCCATTCAAATTCCATATAGAGGTCTTGCTCAGAACACTCCGCAGGTTGTTATGGAACAATTTGATGCTGTGGATCAAAGTGGGAAACGCATGGGCAGACCTTCTCTATACAGTCAGCCTATACATATTGAGGTAAATATTATTCGTTAATAATTAAATAAATTTTGTTTAGATTGTTATGGGTCCATCGCATGATGAGGCTCTTGAATTATTAAAACAAGGTCAGGGAGGAATGGGCAGGAAGTCGAGAGAAATTCACCAAGGAGTTGATATCAACAATTTGATTCCTGTAATTATTTTTTATTATCATTAAAGTTTAAAAATTTAGGTCCATAACGAAACTCTTAACCCTCCATCAAACGTTCATTGTTTAATTCTCGCTGTTCAACTTAAAATACTACATGTCAACCTAGATAAGACAATTTTGGAGAATAAAAAATTTCAGAGGCTTGTAAATGGACAAAATAAAAATGCGATATTCAAGCGTGAATTTTTGGTTAAAGAAATGCTGCAGCAACTATTCAGACATGGAATCCGCTATCCTACGTGCGCTGCAGAGTATACTTATGATGAGCATGTTCCGATGTTACAACGTTATCTGAATTTGCGTTGGCCCGGCAAGTACAGAATATCTGTGTTTGGAGAACATGGAAAATTGCGCCCATTATGGAAAGGAACGGAAAGGGCAGAACATGAAATTGCTTTATACTTAAAAGAAGGACATTATTATGGAATCAGAAATGTTAATGCACTTTTTGGATCGTATTATTGTATTGACTGTGAGGCTCCTTATACTAAGAAAATTGATCATCGAAAAAAATGCATCGCTAAATGCCCTCGATGTTGTGGGATGGGTTTTGGATTTCCATGCAAAGTGCTTGAAGACTTTTCTAAAAAATGTTTACAGTGTTTAAATATATTTAAAAATCCTGAATGCTATAAAAGACACATAGAGAAAGGAATCTGCAAGATCTTTAAACGGTATTTTAAACAGTATAAATTTATAACTAACTTTTTAGCTGTGAGGAATGCGGGCATGTCTATCGTGTTAAAAAAGTTAAATCAAAAGAATCTGAAAGCGAATCCACAGATGAGGATGTTGAAAAAGACAACGGTCATACATGTTTTATTCAGTTTTGTTCTCTATGTCTTTCAAAGCACAAGATCGAAGAACAATGTTATGTGCAACCAATTGTTCCAAAACATGATCAAGAATATTTATTGGTATTTATTTTTAAATTTTAACAATAAATAGTCTCAGATTGCCTTTGACTTTGAATGCGAGCTAATTTCTCCGACAAGGAATCAAGAATATTGGGATCAGCTACAAAAAGATAATCCTGTAGAATCTTTACCTAATGATGAAAATTATCAATTACACCATGTAAACTGCGTATCGGTATTTATTTAATAAGTATAAAAATATTAATCAAAATAGGCCTTGTTAATGTGTTATCAATGCATAGTCAATGATAACTGGAGAAATGAGAAAACTGGTTCTTGCAAAATTTGCGGGATTAACAAGCATAGGATGAGAACTTGGACAGCAGCAGACTTTTCAAATCCTTTGCGTGAATTTTTGGAATGGTTGATTAATGGGTTAGGGAATCAGCGAACAGGGAAAACATATGCTATTTCACATTATGGGGGGTTTGTTTTAATTATATTTCATTTTCGTATTATTAATTTAAGTCGATATGATATGCATCTGCTGTTAGGGGAATTAATCAAACATTTTGGAATTGAGCCAAAAATAACAAGGACAGGAAACAAACTCTACGAAGTTCTAATTAAAAAACAGAGAAGTCGCTTTCCTTATATTTCATTTCGCGACTCATTCAATTGGACAATGCTTAAATTGGAACAACTCCCCAAAGCTCTTGCACTTGAAATCGACGAAGGAGGAAAGTCCTTTTTTCCTCATGGATGGAATTTCAATAAAAATATGGATGTCCGTCTCAAAGGATTACCTGATCAACAATATTATTACCCTGATTTAATGGGAAAAGAAAGGAGAAAAATGTTTGAAGAATGGTACACAGCCAATAAAAACGAACCGTTTTGCCTTCGTGAACAAATTGTCGAATATTGTCAACAAGACGTGCGTATTCTAGCTCATGCACTTGTAAAGCTTCAACGCCTTTTCTTTGCATTAGCTACAGAGCCTGCAAAGCGTGATGACGTGCTTGTTAATTCAATGACAATTGCAAGCGCTTGCATTCGCCATTTTTGTATGTTTTTAAAACTAATTAAATATATTAAAAATTTTAAGGTATAAATTATTTGAAAAAGGCCCAAATGGGTATTATTCCCGACAACGGATATCATAAGGATACAAACCAATCAGCAATCGCTTTAAAATATCTTCGATGGCTTTCTCACAAAACAGATCTCCAAATTCAACATCGAGAAAGTCCAGAAGGAGAAAAGAGGGTACGTGTTTCCGACAGAAGTCTTTTACGACTGGATGGTTATATCAAAAGCACTCATGGCGGATGGGACCAAGCAATTGAATTCCTTGGATGTGCCTGGCACGGACATGAATGGTAATTAACATTCTATGTGAAATAAATTATTTTTAGTTTATATCGCCCACATGAAATTTGTCTAAATGGAAAAACCTCGCTATATAATAATGACAAACTTGATGAACGTATTCGATTATTGAAGGAAGCTGGAATTTGGACTATTCCCGTCTGGGAATGTGAAGTAATGAAAGACCTTGAGGAGTGCCCTGAAATGTCTCGTTTCTTTGATAGATTGCCAGACATTGGCCCTCTTTACCCTAGGGATGCTTTCCATGTATGATTTATTCAATTTATTATTAAATCTTAAATTAAGGGAGGAAGAACAGGTCCTCTTTCGCTTAAATGTGATCTAGAAGGAACTTTTGAGAAAGATTATGAGATCTCATGCTTTGATGTTGTCAGCTTATATCCTGCTGTGAATTTTTACGCCTTTTATCCAATAGGTGACTTTTAACTATTTAATAATCTTGAAAATTTATTAGGACATCCAAAAGTTTTGGAGTTAAATAAAAATGTAAATTGGACAAAGCCTGAAGACTTGCATTCATTTAAAGGGCTATTCAAGATTTTCATAATTCCTCCAGATGATTTATATCTTCCAGTAATTCCTGAAAATATTCATGGAAAATTGGTAGATATTTTTTTTAGAAATTTTCATTTATTAATAAACAGATCTTTCATCTCTGCCGTAGTTGTGCCGTGGAAGCATCGCCTGGGTTAGCGATACGTGCAAACCGTAAATATAATAAAGAAATTGGTCATGAATGGTGTCCACACAAAGATGATGAACGAGGATTTGTTAGTACAACCTGTTCAGTGGAACTTGAACTTGCTTTGAAAAAAGGATACCGCGTGACTAAAGTATACAGCATTTATCATTGGGAACAGTGGTCCGACACACTATTACGGCCCTATGTTCAGGATATGATGTGTCTTAAAATTGAGGTTTTAAATATTTTCATATTTATAAACTTTTATTAGGCAAGCGGTTGGCCGAGTAGTGTACTAGTCCCTGGCAATCCTGAGATCGAGGATCAGCGGAAAAAAGAATTTATTGAAAGAAACCAAAGAGAATATGGAATACATTTAGATCCAACGAGGATAGAAAGAAACGAGGGGATGCGTTACCTTGCAAAAACTTGCAACAATTCAATGTGAGAAAAATTTTTAATCACTAATTATAATTATTTAGGTGGGGACGATGGGCGCTGCGGTGCAATTTATCACAGGTATATTTTGCTTTCAATTTGTCACTGAAATTTTTTAGGATTGCATAACAAGCTCGCCTGTAGAATTACATAATGTTCTCAATGATCCGAAACTTGAACTTGGTGCAGTAGAGATGTTGGCGCCAAACCTTTTTTCCGTTCCGTATAAGCAACGAAGAGAATTTGTACGACCACATGACAAATATAACATTGCAGTGGCATTGATTACAACCGCAACAGCCCGAATAATGCTATATGACTATATGGAAAGGATTGTAAAAGAAAAGGATTGCAAGCTGTTGTATACTGACACGGATAGCTGCTTTTACTTGCATCGTCGTGGACAAACGCCCCCCTTTCGTGTGGGCGAGATGCTTGGTATGATGGATCGCGAATATGGGGAATGGAATATCATTGCATTCTATACTGGGGGATGCAAGCAAGTATAAAATTAATTTTGAGCAAACAATTATTTTTAAGTATGCAATGAAAATGAAGCACAGAATTAGTGGTGAAATTAAATTTATTGTAAAATGCCGCGGTTGCTGGGACAAAGTTGATTCCCCTCTAGACTTTAATCAATTCAAGGTTATCCATTAATCGTTTTCTAAATTAAAAAAAATATTTAGAAAATGGTTGAAGCGTATGGAGAGGAGAAGGAGCCTGTCATCCTGGAACGCACACATTTTCAGCCAAGTTGGAGGAGAGGAGAGGTTACAAGCAGATCTCAAAAAAGGTAATGGATATTTTTAAGCATTACAAATGCCAAAATTCAGACGATATGCTCCAATCTACGACAAGGGAATAGTTGATGATAATTTTGATTGTTATCCTTATGGATACAGAGGCGAACCACTTATTGATCCGATATATCCTGAATAAATTTTAATTAAAAATTTTTCTTAAATTAAATGTTATAATCCAAATATACTTATTGATTAATCCAATTAACAGATAATTTCAGATTTGGTTATTTAATACAGATTTGATAAAAATGACAAACAATTTAGGTAAATTTAATTTATTAACTAAATTCATAAAAATTAAGAAATCACTACAGGAATGTTGGAAAATTTAACAATAACTTCAAAGAATATTTGCATCAAGACTACACCGCTAATCAAACTACTCTGCCAATTCAATGGAGGATGTGTACCTGAATTACTTAATTGTGAAATACGAGATAATTGCACCGAAAATCTAAAATTCATACAATCTCTTGCAAACGAAGATATCTCAGGAATTGGACAAAATAATTTAACAAAAACAGCATATTCCCTGGAAAGAGATTTTTAGTTACAAACCATCTTAAAAATCGTTTCATCGAAGTGTATCCTAAAAATTTTACGAATATGGGATCTGATCGAACTCTCGCTCTTCGAGGATTTTTATCAATAACAATAAGGTTTTTTCTTTCTTTAAACATATTATATTTCAAGACAATTTTATTATGTTCGTCACTACGTTAATCTTGTTTATCCTCATTTGCCTCTTGTGTGTGTTAAAGGAGGAGGAACACATGAATACTATTATCCTATCGAGTGCTTGGACTTCGTTGAAATAGATGAACAAACCTGAAATTAATTTTAGCTTATTATCATGAATAAATATTTTTTCAGAAAAATTTTTAAACAAATGTTTTATGCATTCTATCTATATTGATAATTAATAATTATTTTAAGCTTGCAGAATCAATATGATCAGCGACGTCAATATTGGTACACATTTATATAGTAAATTAATTTAAAAATAATTTAAGAATCCGCTTCACTGATGATGGAACGTCTTCATTTAAAACATGAACAAAATTCTCTACCCCCTGAAGAAATTATTGGGCCACAAAAACAAAATATTTTTATATTCAACTCTCCCAGATGTGGTTTTGATAACCGATTTAAAACAACATTTACACTGCTTGGCCGTTCATTCAATTCAATTGAACAGTATTTCGTCTGGCAAAAGGATAGATTCTTTGGGGATTTGGAACTTGCTGCAGATGTGCTTATGCTCGATAATCCATTTGCAATAAAACGAATTGGAACACGTGTGAAAAATTATAATAAGAACGAATGGAATTCAGTTAAAGACAAGGCAACTATTTATTTTTAACAAAATATTAAATAATATTTTATAGATAATGTATACAGGGCTATGGGCAAAATTTACACAAAATCTACAGCTTTTCAATCAATTACGTGCAACAGGGGATGGGCTTATTACACATGCATCAGCTTCAAATCTACATTGGAGTAATGGCTTGAGTCATAAAAGTCCTTGTCTGAATGATCCAAGCATTTGGGAGGGAGAGAACAAACTTGGTGAACTAATGATGGAATTACGAACTGAAATAAACACAAGTATTTTTTAATTCTTCAAAAATATTGAAATTGAATTGTAAATTTTATTTTGAGTTAAGTAAATTTCTTCTTCTGATCTTGCGCCTGTAATAATGCATTTTCCTGTTGTGAATAGTATAATAACGGCTCGTGATTCCATTAGTCTTAGACACATCCCTGGAAAAAATTCTGGATTGTAGGAGATGTGCCTAGCAAGCCATTTGGGAGGAGAAACCCTCAATGAATCATACAAAGCTAAAAATTAATTTTTAAGCAAAAATCAAGATACCTGGTAAATTTAGAGTTCCTGAAAATGTAAACGAAGAGACAATATTTTGAATACTAAAATTTCGCATATTTATTAATATTGTTGATGCCGCAGAAATTAGTTTGACAAAATATATGATAGCTGTTTCAGATTCCTTTACTGATTTTGTTCCGACACAAACTATTCGTCCATTCGCAAAAAGTAGTGCTGTAGCAATTATTGGTTCTTTAATCTTAACTGTTAGAGCAGAAAAGCGCTCAGGACGATATCTAGCATTAGGAATCTTAGATGCAAGTTGCGCAAGATCTAATTTGTTGTTATTTTCTAACAGACTGGCTGTAGATACCACATTTTGAATAACTGCTTTTTGATACATATTTTAGGGCCTATATAAATAAATACAAGAATTTAAATTCAAACAAAATGTTTATAGCCCCTTTCACTATGATAATTTCGGGTGCCACGGGGAGTGGCAAAACCCAATGGCTGCTAAAATTTCTGATGCATAATGACCAGCTCATAGATCCTCCTCCTTCAAAAATATTATATTGTTTTGGAGAAATGAATGAAACTGTCTTTAAGCTTAAGGAAATGGGAATAACTACTTATAACGGGATTCCAGAATCTGAACTAATTAAACAGCATCAGCTTTTAGTTTTAGATGACTTAATGCTTAATATTCCAAATGATTTCTTAGATTTACTATTTACTAGAGGTTCACACAATTGGGGTGTAAGTGTGATTTTTGTCACACAATCTTTATACGGACGTAATATAAAGACGGCCCGTGCAAATGCCCATTATATCCTTCTAACAAAAAACCCTCAGGGTCTTCTGCAAGTACGTACACTAGGCTCACAGCTTTTTCCTAAAATGCTTAATTATTTTCTTGAAGCATATCGAGATGCAACATCAGAACGTTTTTCTTATCTATTAATAAACATGCATCCTAACACAGATGAAAATATGCGATTATCTTCAAAAATTTTTCCCGGAGAAAAAACTTCTATATATTTGCCTCTGTAATATATAAGTACTCAAAACATTTTATAATGAAAATGCCATCATTCAATTATAGCCCATACGTTAAGGAAAACTTTGAGTTTCTCCAACAATTAGCAAAAACTACTTCCGATAAAAAGAAAAACGCGCTCATCCTTTCAGCAAGCGCAGATCAAATTTTAGCTATTGTTGAAATTTGTGCAAATATTCTAAAGAATAATTTTACACTAAGCAGGAAGCAACGCAGAAAATTATCTCAATTTGCGGATTTCTATAGGGCAATTGCACGAACTCGTACAGCAAAAAGTGCTAGAAATAGAATACAACAAGGAGGTAGTGCCGCTCTAGCCGCTATACTAGTACCCGTCTTAGGCGCTTTAGCTGAACATATAATTCATAAATTCTCACAGGAATGAAACATACAAAGAAAATGATCATGGTGCCCGAGAGCGAATATCTCACTCTTTTAGGCATGATTAAAAGTGGAGATTATCTTCAAACAGAGAAGACACAGACGGATGTCGATATTATGAAAACCCTCGATGACCCTAAAATTTCGGAAGATTTGAAAGCAAAGAAATACAGTTTATTATATAAGAAGAGGCGTCAGCTCAAACATGAGTTGGAAAATCGGCCACAAAAAGTTATTATTGATGAAGGAAAACCTGCTCCAGATGTTGCACCATACTTGCAGGAAAATATCGCTTCTACACCAAAACCAAAATTAATTCCCAACAAGCTCAAATCAGCTTCAAACTCCGAATATCAGACGGATTCAGAAGTAACTCCTAAGTTGCCGCGAGCAAAAAGAAAAAGTGCAATTCCTTTTTCCAAATTCAAGGGTATTATTGCATCACGTTATTCCACAGAATTGGATAATTATGTTAAAGTTAATGCTGAAAAATTTAGAATAAGTAAGAACGGGAGTTTTGAATCTAATGTCCCTGGAAGACTTGTAAAGAATAGCAATTTCACAGATGTTCTCGAATATATAAAGGGCGAGACATCATCGCCCCCAAAAGGTTTCAGTTTTCTATTTAACCGTCTTTCTAAGGACCCGTTAGTGAAAGAGATGATTAAAGAGACGCGTGGAGAAAGTACTACTGAAGGTAGTTCAACCGATAATCAATCAGGCAGCGGTAAAAGAAAAAAGAGAGTTCTAGTAAAAGTCATGCCTATAAATTCACCTGGATTAGTTCGGCGAAAAAATAAATTTATGCCAAAAATATGGGAAAAGCTTTAGATACTTTTTTAGAAAAAATATATTATTCGCTTAATTCTCCCGCTTCATATGCAGGAATAAATCGCGTCTATGAAGAAGCGCGTCGAAAATATCCTAAAATAAAATTTCAGGATGTTTATGATTTTATGCATAAGCAAAGGGTGTATACAATGCATAGACCTCTAAGAAAAAAGTTTCACAGGTTAGCCACTAGACCAAGCGGCCTGCACACAGATTGGCAAGCGGATCTGGCTATATTTGATCAATTAACTGAACATAATGATGGGTATAAGTATCTTTTGGTATGTATTGATGTACTAAGTAGAAAAATTTTTGCTGTGCCTGCCAAATCTAAAAGATCCGAAGATATGATTGACGCGTTCGAAAATATTTTTAAGCTTTCAGAAGGGATACTTCCGCATAAATTATATACGGATCGAGGGTTAGAATTTGAGGCAAAACGAATGAAAGAATATTTTAAAAAGAAGGATATTGATAAGCGTGTAGTCTATAGTCCCGATGTTCACGCTTCTATGGCTGAAAGGGCCAACCGTACAATTAAAGAAAGATTATATAGATATTTTAGCGAACAAAATACACTACGTTGGAAGGAAGTTATTCAAAAAATAATTGCAGGAATAAATGAAAGTATTAATCGAACCACAGGTGTAACCCCAAATTCTGTTACATTTAAAAATGCTGGGAAACTTTATAATAGACTATATAAGGGTCCTAAAATTTCGCAAAATAATAAATCAATCTCAATACTTGAGCCAGGACAAATTGTTCGTATCACAAAAGAAAAAGGTAAATTCGAAAAGGGATATCTACCCAACTACACTGACGAATTATTTCACGTGCACATCAAAAACGACAATAGATCACCCATAACATATAAATTAAAAGATTTCGAAGGAAATTTAATTGAAGGAATATTTTATAGAGAAGAATTAGTACCCACACAAGAAGATACTACTCACCGCATTGCAGAAATTTTAAAAACACGTACACGGGCAGGCCATAAACAACATTTTGTTCGTTGGATTGGATACAACGATAATTTTAATAGTTGGGTTAACGATAGTGATATTGTTCGAAGATAAATATGGATTCATTTTATGTAATTTTGCCCTCAAATACAGGAAGCGTTGAAGGAAATACAACTTCCAAATTTACTGTTAGAATGCCTGACACGCTTGAGTTGGATTCAAGTTGGACTGTTGCACTATCAAATATTATATATCCATTTTCCTTCTCATTATTTGGGGATTCTGAAGAACAAGAATCTATAACTGTTTTTCGAAGATATGGAAATGAACTTTATCCTATTCGTATCGAGATACCTGATTTGTCCTTTGCCTCAGAAGAAGCATTGGAAGAGTCCATTAATGCAGTTTTGCTTGATGTATGGAAAAAGGAATTGGATCGAGAGCGTGAGGAAACGAGGCTTGAAGAGAATAAAAAAAGAATTTATGGGGAATATCGCAAACGGCGTTCTGTCGGATCTATAAAAGAACAGTATGATAAACATGGTTATTTCGATCTCAACTCTAATGAATTAAATAAATTTATAAAGCTATTATCGGAAGAGGATGATGCAGTTAGTCCCAAACTTACGAATTTGAGTTCAGGTGATGGAGATAGAAATATTCGTCTTTTGCCTCCAGCAAATCAAAAAACCCTTTACTTAAAAGTTATTGATAAATTTATTCTTCCTCATCAGACTCAATTAGAACCTGAGGAACAGCTGATCAAAAATAGCTATTTTGATATGACAAAACAGATTGCATTTAATTTTATGAAATTTTTAGGTAAAGAAGGAATTCGTTTACCTCCTATAAGCCCTCTATCAGTAGAGGGTAAAGAAATGGTTAGATTCAATCCCCATTCCGATCAAAAAGAGCGGATCAAACAAGCCCTTTTAAAGTTTAAGAATCCTCCTTCACTTGATCAAACTGAAGAGAAGGATGAAATGGAATCTACTCCAGATACTGAAAAATTTATGCAACCGCCTGAAGAGAAAGTTGTTACACCTATTGAAGAAGCACCTACTCCAGATATAAAAGAGGAGGAAGAAAAATTGCCTTCTGCTCAGATTATTTTCTCTTTAGAGGGTGCAACTCAACAATTGGAAAAGGATGGTTACCTCGATATGCCAAAGGACCGTGCTTACAAATTTATACAATATTTAAATAAAGAAATTAAGGACGCAAAACTTCCAGGTATATCTCCGGTATCAGGAGGCCTTGTTGTTCGATTAAAGCCGCAAACAGATCAGAAAAGTATAATAATAAATGCAATTAAAAGTTTTATTTCCTCAATAGAACCCTCTACTATTCAACAACCTGATCCTTTACCGACAAGGGAAAATGACCAAGAAAATCTTGGAGAAGATACGCCTGCTGGAAACAAAGAAAAAACACAGAGTTCTACTTCTATTTCATCTACTGATGACATTCCAAAAGGGGAAACGCCTGTAACTATACCTGTAACAGAAGCTCCTCTTAGTCCTGAGACTTCAAACGAATTGGAGAAAACAAATGATTCGCAACAAGAATCTAATGATGACAAAACTCCTTTAGATGGAAAAATAACATCCCTTTCACATGTAGAAGAGACTGTTGAAAAGCCCTCTCTAACTAATGACCAAAAAACCTTATTGGATATGGCCGTTCGTGCAGCTACAAGGGCGTGGAGGAATAGTGTAGAGTTGGCAGAGCAAGCGCAAATAAATATGGAACTTGGTAACAAGTATTGGCAAAATGCGCGTATCAAGTACGCGCTAAAAGATAGTGTGATAACATTAAAGGAGACAGGGGAAACGGTGCATATAAGGAAAACGCCAGAAAATATTCTTGGTTGGGTTAAAGCACAATTGACTTTGTTAACTAATCGTAAAATTGCAATAGAAAAATGGACAGAGGAATCTTTAGAGTACGGAAAAAGAGCCTCAGAAGCACAACTAGAAGCTAAAGCGGCGGAAACGCGCGGTAATGTTACCGATGCACGAAAATCTGCAGATCGTGCTAAGGCCGCAGAACGCAAGGTAAAGGAAGCAGCCAGTCAAGTTGAAGAAGCTGTTGCGGGGCAAAAACGTCTATCAGAAGAAATTATTGGTAAAGTTGACGCGGAACTTGCGAAACAGGACAAAGAAACAAGTCCTGAATCTCCAACTATTGAAGATGAAAGAAAAGAATTACTAGAAGAGAATATCGATGAAAATATTGAGGAGTATGATGAAAATGACGTTCCCTCCGACAAAGAGCAATGGACACCTCCATTACCCGAGGAAAATATTGAGCAGAATAAAGAATATGAATCCCAGGAAGAAGAAACAGAGGTAGAAGACTTGACTCTGAAAGAATCACAAACAATAACTGACGAGGATAAATGGACATCCCCTTTACCAGATGAAGAAAATATTATTAAGGAACAGGAATTACCAACAATTATTGAAGAAGTTGATGAAGAAGACGATACTCCGAAAGAATCACAAACAATAACTGACGAGGATAAATGGACATCCCCTTTACCAGATGAAGAAAATATTATTAAGGAACAGGAATTACCAACAATTATTGAAGAAGTTGATGAAGAAGACGATACGCCGAAAGAATCACAAACAATAACTGACGAGGATAAATGGACATCCCCTTTACCAGATGAAGAAAATATTATTAAGGAACAGGAATTACCAACAATTATTGAAGAAGTTGATGAAAAAGACGAGACTCCGAAAGAATCACAAACAATAACCGATGACGACGAAGAGCAATGGGAAGCTCCATTACCAGATGAAGAAAATATTGAAGAACCACTGATTAACGAAATGGACACTGAGGATGATGACCAAGAAAAGACACTGCAGCAATCTCAAACAATTAACGATAAGGAAGAGGAACAATGGGCACCTCCATTGACAGAAGAAGATCCTGAAAGTATTTTGCCTTCAACGGCTAATTTATCACAAAACAATAATCATCCTGAAGAGGATCAAAAAATCCAAAGTGAATATCCACTGCCATCTCTTCCACGCCCTGAAATGTTAATTGGAGAACCTTCTGAAAGGCCTTCATTTTTGAAAAGCTTCTTTGGACATGGTGGTGTATCTAGCGAAGACAAAAAGAAACAAGAGCTTCCAAATCAAGAAAAGGTGGAGAAAGAAGAACTTCCCAAAGAAAAGTTAAAAATACACGTTGATGATTCGGATCCTAATGTAAAGAAAATGCATTTTGCTAAATATGCCTATCCTCCCGAATATCTAAAAATGCTTCTTAACTTTTCCAATATACAACTCGCCGATCCAAAATATCAATGGGTTTCAGTACATTTTGATAAATTGCATAAGAGGTTTCATGTCTTCTTACAAGGAAACGTACAATATATTCAATTAAGTCGACAATTAGCATATACTCTTGGTTTTGATTCTGAGAAAGTTCATAGTGGACAAGTGGCAAAATATATGCCTGATATATCTGGAGGTGTGCGTCAATTTCTGGTTTATGCACCAAGACTTGTTGAAAATAGTATAATAGGTAATGTAACAGCCCCGTTATTACGGGTTGTGAATGTTGGAGGTAAACCTGGTGAAAGTATTTCCGAAGTATATATGACCGAACATCATCATCGACTATTAGGTAAACGTCATCCAGACATTACTATTGAAATTCGAACCTTAACTGGAAAACTAGTAAAATTCCATTGGGGAACCTGTATACTTACACTACATTTTCAACGCTCTCTATTTTGAAAATGACGCATGTGCCGGTAGATTTAGATAAAATAAACTGGGGTCCGTTTTTAGCGGCTCAAGATGGCGGCTCACGAACAGATCTGCCAGAATCAAATAGCTATTTTCAGGGAACAAGATATCAAAGAGGTTTTGGCGTACTTGGTACTGTAGGACGTTTTCTTATGCCTATAGTTAAAAATTTGGCTTCTAGTGCGGGACAAGAAGCAGTTAACGTCGGGAAAAATATCCTAGAAGATGTTTCACAAGGGCGATCAGTTAGTGATGCTTTGAAGCAACATGGTAGTGAAGGTCTTCAGAAAGTTGGTAAAAAACTTCAGCAATGCGGAAAAGGTAAAAGAAAGAATAAACCAAAACTTATTAAAGAAAACTTAGGAAAAAAAGGTCGAAGATATAGGGATCAGCTAAGTTTAGAAGATTTCTGAGTATATAAGTAATTTTTAACTTTTTAAAATAAAAAATGACGACGATAAAGAAAATTGACAAAGATAGTTCTGAAGGTGTTGATAATCGTCTGACCTTCTTTTCGATTCCTTCTACTAATGTAGGTATTCAGCGTTCGGCATACAAGGAACTTCTACCCCTTAATGCTCTTAATCAGTCTGCGGGGCCGTTTATTTTTCGTTACTTTGGTGATGTCAACTAAAAGCTTACTTTGACAAATAAAATTTTTGGGGAAGCTAGGTCCCAAGAGTTATTGAATAAGTTGAATTTAAATAAAATATTTATCTTTAAAATTAAATACAATTAAATGTATTTGTAAAGAATTAAATGGAAAATTAAAACTGAAGATGATAGGGAAGATCTGCCTATTGTTTATATAGGGGATTTAATGGACAATAGGCAGAGATTTAAACAATAATGAATAGAGAAGTGATATGAAAAATAGTATTAACGAGGGGTGAAAAGACAATAGTTTCCGGAAAAAAGAAGAGCGAAGAAGGGGTCAAAGTGGAAAACATGGGAAAATAATTTATGAAATTGTCTGTCGTGGACAGGTGAAATAAAGGGGAAAATAGGAAGAAATATTTAAATTTATTAATAATTATAATTTCGTGTTCCTTACACGACACTGGCGGCCGCGCGAAGACGTATTTCCTCGTTTCTTTCTTCTTCGTCTTTCTTCTCATCTTTAATTTTCCTCATTATTGTGTTCATGATTATTTCTTCTGTTTTTTCTGATTCGGGTGTTTTTCCTATCATTATTAATACATGTGCCAAGAATCTTCCGATTCTAGTATTTTTTATATATTTAAGTAGAAAAGGGAGAATATTGTCGAATAGCCAGATGTATGTTATATACAGTGCTACCATTCTGATCCACAATTTTTCAAGCTCAATTTCCCAAATTTTTTCGAGAATGCTTGTAAGTGGATTTTTGACTGTTTCTTCAGTGTGTACGTATTCTCCATTTTTTATTGCATTTTCAATTTTTTCTTGTTCAAATTTTTTGTCTATTCCATATGTTTGGAACATTTGGAGAATTTCAATTCTAGGGTCACTATAGTTCTTTATGATTAAATTGTGGAATGCGTGTGTTTCAATTTGAGGGAGGTGTATCGGTTTTTGTAGGTCGAGTGTTAATTCATGTATTTGTTTTTCATTTATTTCTTTATTTTTTCCCGTCTTTTGATCAATTCTCAACAATTTTTTCCCGATAAATATAGTTATAAATCTCTCATATGAACATGGAGTTTCACTTGCTTTTTCTACTATAGTTAATGTTTTTGGTTCAAGATATGCTTTTATTATTTTTTCTTTTAAAGTGACATTTATTGGAATCTCTTTATAGCATTTTTCATTTGGTAGAAATGTGATGTTTTCATAAGGTATTGGAAAGCATGTTCTTGTCTCTAATATTTCATTGGATATCCATTTACCTAAGACATATGGTGTATTCATGATTAACTTAGCTACAATGTTGCTGTCGGTTCCACTTATTAATTTGTTTTGGTGTTCTCCGTTAATATCTTTGGCACAAAGGATACTAGTCAAATGATTAAATACTTTTTTAACTTTCTCTGTAGAGAGTATTTCGGCGGCTGTTAGTTCTGCGGCTAATTGGTTACTCAAAATTAATCCGCTTCTGGTGTTTTTATTTTCTCGTTTTCTTCTTATTTTTTCTTTTAAGCTCAATATTTGGTATTGCTGTGCTGGTACTGCGTAACCTTGCTCGCTTATGATTAATTCTTTATTACAATCTATTATTTTTGTGGGGTTATTTGTAAATGAAATTCCTATCTCTTTATTATCTGCTAACCAAATTCTACCCATCCATGTGCCTTTCCATTTACTAACTCTTGAAAATTTACACATTTTTTCGTTTTTTTCTTTATTTTCTGCTTCCCAAATAATCAGTGAATCATCTTCTAAAAGGCAAGCTGCGTTTTCATATCGGCAATGTGAAATATCAACTCCTGGGGAAAATATTGAAGATGAATCTGGTTTAGCGTAAATGCTTATTTTACTTAGGAAACAATTGGATTCGCTTGTTTCTTGATATCCGATTGACCAGTAAGCGTATTCTATCTTTGCTTTATTATTTGTATGACTTATGTTTCTGTTTCCAGTTAATTCCCCTAATCTACATTTTGATTTTTTCCATATTCTGTTGCATTCCTCTATACTTATTTCTTCTTTTCTGTTTGTCGAAAAAATGTGTGGTATGTTTAATAAATCCTTTTTGTACTTGTAATTTGTGCTTAGTATAGAACAATGTGCAGCTGGTATTGGTACAAGGTCTATATTTGGTTGGTAGATATCGAAACTGTGTGTTGTAGGTAGTGGAGGATCCTTTGTGAAATTCACACAAGGTTGATGGTTTTTCTTTATCCTCCAATAGATTTGATTTTTCTGCCCCGGGCAGATCATCGGTGATTGTAGTAAGCTCAGAGGGAACATAATAGCTAATATACTGAAGAAAAACGCGTGTGTAATAAATTTCCCTTTCATTTGGTTCACTTTAAAATAGTTAATTTTTTCTTTAATTATTTTATTTTCTTCTACTTTTGGGATTTCTAGACTATACAAGTGATTTGGCGGTCGTGTTAATATTTTACCATTTCCTAATTTTAGTTTTATAGCTCGATTCTTGATGTTCTCCAGTACTTTACCAATCTTCCAACAACCTTTTGGTAGGGATTCGTCATATATTTGGACAAGTTCCCCAATTTTCGGTTGTCCTTTTGCTGGATTTTTTGGATTATTGTGTTTATCCCTCCTTTCTCTTAACATCGTTAGATACTCTATTGACCAATTTTTCCAAAACTTATTTATGATTATATTATGTTTTTTCCACTCTTTTAGCAATTTTTCAGCTGAGTCTGCATTTTGGGGTAAATAATCTTCATCGGCATCATTGGTGATGGGTGGGAATCCTTGTTGCGCAAAAGGGTAAGTAAAATCAATTGGTCTTAGAGCCATAATTCCTTGTTCGTCGTCTATCTGTACTAATGGTCGACAATTAATTATAGCCTCTACTTCACATATAAGTGTTTCGAAGTCTTCGTGATTTAGTAATTTTCTACCTATTGTTTTTCGAATATTGTTTTTTATCATCCCGTTAATCCGTTCATATACGCCCCCCTGCCAAGGGGCAAGCGGGGTTATAAATTGCCAATTTATGTTCTCTTTAGCAAAATATTGTTGGAGGCCGTCATCTATTATTTGATCCGGTTTAATCCTTTTTAATGTTTTTTCGGCTAGAACAAAGCTAGCCCCATTATCTGAAAGAATGTACTCTGGCCTGGTCCTTCTAGCTACAAATTTCCTAAATGCGTTCAAAAAGGCGTAAGTACTGATGCTAGTTACTAACTCGAGGTGTATCGTTCGAGTTGAAAGACAGGTTAGTAATAGTATCCATCTTTTGCTTGTTCCTTCAGTCTTATCTTTTACAATAATTGGTCCCATGAAGTCTAATCCCGTGTTTTGGAACACTCGAGAGGGAGTGACTCGTGTTTCTGGGAGAGATGGCATTTGTGTCAGCGGGTATGGTTTTAGTTTTCGGCAATTTTCCAAGCATTCTTTTAATGTATTTTTAACTAGTTGTCTTCCTTTGGGTATGTAGTATGTTAATTTCAGATGAGCCAGTGTTGACTGAATTCCCGAGTGTTGCCTTGCTTTATGTGCATATAGTATTATGAGCCTCGTTAGCGGATCCTTCCTAGGTAAGTATATCGGGTTTGCGAACTCATAACCATTAGGTAGATTCTGCAGTCGGGTTTTACACCTCAGAACATTATTTTCATCAAAAAATAAGTTTAATGTTTCTATTTGATCTTTAGAGATATTTTCCCTTAATTGTGCCTGTTTTATTAACATTATTTTGGCCATTTTAATATCTGCTGCCGTGAAGTTTCCTTTTTTATTAATTTTATGGAACCAAACTCTCTTGTCCTTTTTTAGTTTTGAAAGAATATAGATATTCAAAAATCTAAGTATGAACATAGTGGTGTGAATTAATTTCCACCAGGAGCTAAATTTATCAACCTTTGGTATGAAGCTTATTTTTGCCTGTTCTGCTGTGATTTCATAACAAGGGACTGTTAATTTAGATTGTTCCTTTATATTATAAACTAGCGTATTCGGCCATTTTGTTTCGTTTTCTAACCACTCTGGTCCCTTCCACCATAGCACGTTTTTTGCTAATTCTGGTCCATTAGTTCCTTTACTAGCTATATCAGCTGGATTATCCATAGTTCCGACATGCCTATATTCGATTTCTTTATTTTTCCTAATTTCTACTAGCCTATTATTTATGAATGTTTCTTTATGTTTAATATTTTTTATCCACGAGATTGCTATGATTGAATCACTCCAGAGGATAATTTTATCGATGGGTCGCTTTAATTCCTTTATAATAAATGAGATTGTTCTAGTGCCAATTAATATAGCAAGTAATTCGAGTCTGGGGATTGTGAGAGTATTTTCTTTCTTTTTTGGTACAATTCTATTTTTTGCAAAAATTAAGTTGATATTAGTTTGATGTGAACACTGTACTCTTAGGTAAACATTAGATGCATATGCTTTTTTGGAGGAATCAACAAAACAATGAATTTGAAAATTTTCTTGCTCCTCACATCCATGTATTAATTTCCTTGGCCTACTAAATTCTTGTTCTCCCCAATCTTCGATTATTCTATTTATTTCGTCCAACTCATCTTCTTCTAATGGGCCATTCCAATCTATATCTCGATTACATACTTTTTGATATAAAAGCTTGGCTGGTAGTAAAGTCGGTCCAATAAGGCCTAGAGGGTCAAAGTTTGAGTGTATAAGTGACAAAAGTTCCCTTTTATTCATTGCATTATAAGACTTTCCAGGTAGTTTTTGTGAGTATTTATCCGTTTCTATCTGCCAATTAATACCTAAAAATTTGATATTTCCTTTTTCTATTCCTGGGTGTTTATCAGCTTCTTCAAATAATTGATTGTATTCCATGGGGCTCGTGCAAAATTCTCGAATTTTCATGCTTGCTTTTTCAAAAATCTTTATCATTTCTAAATATTTCTTTTTTATTTCCTTTTCGTTTTTTGCGCCTAATATTATATTATCCATGTATAAATTATTTTTAATTTCTTCTGAGAGGGGGTTATCGATTGTTTCTAAGTGGTGCAAAATTGTAGCAATCAGCAAAAAAGGGCTGGATATGACGCCAAAAAGTACCCTAGTAAATCTATAGCAAACAAGATTTTGATTCTCTGGCGGAAGTTGAATGTCTTTGAGCCAGAGAAAGCGGGTGACGTCTCTATCTTGTGTTCTTAGTTGTATTTGTAGAAAGGCTTTAGCAATGTCCGCAATTAATAAATGGTTAAACAAGAATGTTCTAATAATTATTCCAGGCAATTGTGGTAAAAGAACTGCTCCTCGCAGGAGTTCATTATTTAGAGGAGTCTTCCCTGAGCCTGCGTCGAAGACAACTCTCAATTTAGTAAATGACGAGGAACTTTTAAGAACCGGTTGGTGAGGTAAATAATGAATAATTTCTTGTGTGTTTTTAGGTGCAATTTCAATCATGTTTAATTCAAGTTGTTCTTTCATAATTTTATCTATTGATTCTAATACTCCGGGTATTTTTTGATATTTTCTCCATAGGGACTTGAGCCTGCCAAAAGTTACTCCAAAATTTGAGTTTAATGTTTTCTTTGACTCCAATCTCCAGGGCCATCCTACTTCATATCGCCCATCCGATAGCTGTTTAATGGTTTCATTAAATTGTGTCCAAGCTTGCTCATCATCGATTGTTTCCAAGCCTGGTTCCCTTATCCCTATTGTTTCTAAATTCCAAAAATCTTTCTCCTCTAGTTTCTCGCTTTTTTCTCCTACTACACTCATTACATATTGTGTTTCTGTTTCTGGGTCTGTTTCATTAATTTTTGCCTTTCCACACATTATTGGTCCTAATTTTGAGCGAATTAAATATCTTTGACCGGGTAAACTTTCTATACTCTCCAAAATGTTGAGAACGTCCACCAACCCAAACAGTAAATCTGGTGTTCGTTTTCTTACTTCTATTTCTCCTTTACTATAAAGCCAAAATTCTTTAGGATCCCGAGCACAGTATAGTTTCATCTGCTCTAAATTAGGTGTGGTGAATGCTTCTATCCGAATATTTGGACCATTTTTTGTTTTAAATTCAACTGGGATGCAATAAGAGGTAAAACGTGATTTTCTGCCTCCGTACCCATCAACTTCAAGCTCGGTCACGAGTAATGTTTTAACTTTTTCTCCTTTCAGGGCGAGTGAATTGATTTTTTCTGTTTCATTAAATTGGTCATAACAGTTAACTTTTAAAGTATTTATTAAACAACTAATGTCCTCCTTGTAAAATTTTGGTTCGGAAACTGTATGATCATTTGTAGTAATTTTATTGGTTTGAGTGTGTATAGGGGCAGTTACTTGATAAGTTGCTTGAGAAGTTGATTGAATTAGAGGTTTATTTGTTTGTTGGTATCTTCCGAAATTCTCTTCCCTTATATTATGGACATTTTCGTGTTTGGACAATGTTTTATGACAAATGGCGAAATAGTGTGGTGCTGAACAATTTTTACATTTAATTTTATTATTTTGACAGAATTTAGATATATGACCCCTTTCAAAACATTTTATACATTTGCGCATTTCTTTCAGGCGCTGGATTCTTGCCTCCGCATTTTGATATTTTTTGCATTGCATAGAACTATGATTATCTATTTCGCAGAATGCACATGGTCGTTTTTCTTTTTTTCTATCATTGGGATATTGCTTTATCTCTGTTCTCCTATCCCTCCAATCCGAATTCTTATTTGATTCAGCATTCTGTGCAAATACATGGTGATTTTGTCTAGGTGGTGGCCTACGGTATGTGGAAGAGCTCTGGAAATTATTCTGCCCACTCTGTCCGTATACCGCCTCTTTAATTCTTAGGCTTTTATTGACAGCCTCAAGTAAACACTCGACTGTCCATTCGGGGTTCTTGCTCTGTTCCTCAAGTATGGTACAGCTAACCCAGCCACTAAACTTGTTTTCTATCTGCTGAATTAATGCACCGTTATCTATTTGTTCACCATGGGCCTTAAGTTGTTGCGTGATCCTATTTATGCTTATCCAATTTTTTATAACATCCTCTAATTTAATGGCGCGGGGGCATAGCTTATCTAGTTCACTATACAACGACCTCCTGACGGTTTGTGGTTCACCAAATCTTTTTTTGAGATGTTCTACGACCAATGGGTAATTTATGGCAATAACAGGAAACCCAGAAACTTCATTGTAAGGGTGTGGGCGAGTCAACGAAGCCATTAAATATGTTAATTTTTCACAGTCATCTAAATTATTGTTTTTATCAATTGCGACTTCAAAAAGGCTCCAAAAATTTGCCCATTCTGTGACCTTTCCATTAAAAGTGGGGAGACTACAGATCGGGAGTCTGATCGATGAAGTTGGGGTATGTGTTGCTGTCATATTAAACGAATTATTTATCGGAGCAGAAATATCAATTAACTTAGCCTCAACTTCACAACTTAAATCACGAGCAATATCCAGCAAGGCGATAAATCCACTTTCCCCTTCGGCATGAGAGTTATAGTCTTTCAACATTTCCTCTCGTTTGTCTGCTGCCTCAAGACTAATAAGCTTGGCCCATTCTGAATTTAATTGCTCCAAAACATCCACGGACTTTGATAATTTTAGCTGATTTGCTCTTAGTTTAATTATGGAATCCGCCGTGAGTTCTGCCGAAATTAATTCTCTAGAATTGTCTATGTATCCTAAGGTCCTTTTTTTAAGTGGACCTAAGCGCATTTTAAGAGGGCCGGCATATACCTTCGAGGTCATTTTTTATATTTTATTTGATCTCCAAGTCTTTATTGTACTCTTTTCTCTTCCTTGTATTTTTATATTTCTTTTTAAAGGAGAATTTTTTCAATCGATTGTTTGTTTATTTCTCACAGAAGACAATGATCGTTTTGAAAAAAATGTTTATTTTGTTTTTAAAATTTTACAATTGAAGAATAATTTTTAGAAAAAATTTTTAAATCAATCAAATTAAAGCTTTTAAATTAATTAAGCAAATTTTTAATTATTTTCTTTTTCTTTAATTATATTTCCTAGTTTTTCAAATAATTGCCCTGCTGCTCTAAATGTGGCACCAAGATCTCGGTAGACGTCGGCCAAACGAGAATTTTTTCGGGTAGCTTCTCCGAGGGCCTTCGCTTCGATTATTTGATTTTCTTCCAACTTCTTTTTGGCCTCGGTCTGGTCGTTTGCCTGAATTTGTTTTTTTGAATAAATTACCGGTAAATTTAAAATCCTTTGTAAGAAATTTAGATTTACTTTTTGTGGCTGAGCCTTGGTTTGTGGAGTGTTTCTGACAGGGCACCTCACTGGTGTTCGATGATAGACTCTGGTTGGTACCACAGCTGCTTCCTTGCTCAAAGTGTGATCCTCCTTGAAAGATTAAGGTTTCGAAAATTTGTCTTTTTAAAAATTCAGAAGTTTTTTTGTGTTGGTAATTAACTATTTGTGAGTCTACCTTCTTTTTGTAATTGTTTGGTTCAACTCTGTTACGTATTGGAGTAGGAGGTGAACAAGCCCTACGTGGTGTAGCAGGTTGTTTTAATTTCGGAGAGTCCTTCCTGAATAAAAATAATGGACTGATGGATCTCTTTATTACGAACCTCTTTAATGGGGGTTCTTCGTCTGTTGAGTCTTCGGAAATCGTTGGAAGAATTTCCTTGTAATTCCTTTTGTTGTTTTTAGCTGTTGGAGAGCCTCCTTCTTTAATTTTTTCAATTTCTTCACTTTTTGGCCCTTCTTTCTTTATTTTAACTTCAGCTGGGGAAGTTGTTGCTTTTAATGTTGAACAAGCCAAACAAGTGCAATTTGACGATTCTTTGTGTTGAATTCGAATTGCGTCCAGAATTTGTTGTAAAACGTCCTTGTTGATATTTTCCGACACTAAAAAAATAAATTTTATTTTTTTAAAAATATTTTTTTTGTTTTTGTTGGCCTCTCCCGGAGCACCACTTTTGTCAACTAAAAGCTTACTTTGACAAATAAAATTTTTGGGGAAGCTAGGTCCCAAGAGTTATTGAATAAGTTGAATTTAAATAAAATATTTATCTTTAAAATTAAATACAATTAAATGTATTTGTAAAGAATTAAATGGAAAATTAAAACTGAAGATGATAGGGAAGATCTGCCTATTGTTTATATAGGGGATTTAATGGACAATAGGCAGAGATTTAAACAATAATGAATAGAGAAGTGATATGAAAAATAGTATTAACGAGGGGTGAAAAGACAATAGTTTCCGGAAAAAAGAAGAGCGAAGAAGGGGTCAAAGTGGAAAACATGGGAAAATAATTTATGAAATTGTCTGTCGTGGACAGGTGAAATAAAGGGGAAAATAGGAAGAAATATTTAAATTTATTAATAATTATAATTTCGTGTTCCTTACACGACAGGTGACACGCTCTATCTTGATTTGAGCAAAACTTTTTTAAGCCTGGTTTTATCTATCGAAAGAAAAGATGCAACGAGCGGGGAGTGGGTTCCAATTACAGACGGTGAAGCGGCCGATTTTAAAGGAGATAAATATACAGGCGTTGCTCAATATTTAGGTCTTACATGGATTCGCCGTCTCACTCTTTCAATAAATGGTGTTCAATGTTATGACTCGGGTATACACTATGCATATAGATGTATAATTCTTCATGAACTTGGCGCAGATCGAGAGGTAAGTAAAGGCATTTACGAAGCTGCTCTTTATTATAAGGACGCTGTTGATAAAGATGATTATGATGGATCAGGATTTAAATCTCGTGCTTCTCGTTTTGCTAAAGGTAAATTATGTAGAATGTTTTCTCATTTAGATTATGATATGGCGCGTCAAAACCAGCTCTTAATTCCGCATAGTGACGTGATCTGGACAATATACAAAAATTCAGATGAATTTCTAATCCATACTCCAAAATTTCGTAACTCTGCCGCTTTAGTAGACAACACTCATACATACCGTCTTCGTCTTCATGACATGAGAGTTTTTGTTAAACAGGTTGATTTGAGTATGTCGTTGAATAATGCTATCGCTCGACATCTTGAACAGGCACCTGCAAAATATGCTTATAGAAAAATAGATATTCGAAGTGTTTATCTTGGAAAAGGGCGTCAGGAAATTACGCATGCAACGTTCACTAGTACGTGTCCAAGGCGTTTAGTAATTTGTTTTGTAAACTCCCCAGCGTTTACTGGAAATACTGCATTGTCCCCGTTTACTTTTGAACATGCAAATATACGCTCAATTTCGGCAGAATTTGGAGGATTTCAGTTCCCCGCTGTTTCGTATGATCTTGATTTCGCTGATAACAACTTTGTTCGCGCTTATTCTGATATGTATGTAGGTATGGATCTTGATAATTGGCCAAACACTGACCAAAGAACTCTTGATATCAGTATGAAGGAATTTTCTAAATCATCCTGTTTCTTTGTTATTCCGATGACTTCAACACTTGAAGATACGAACGGACTAGAATTAATCAGACAAGGAACAACGACTGTACGTTGTATTTTCAATCACCCCGTAAAGGATGATGGATATGAAATGATAATTATGGGCGAGTTCGATGCAATACTGTCCATAAATGCAGATCGTGTTTTAAGTACTGACGGATCAGTTTAAAATGAATTCACTTCAGATTGAAAAAATATTATACCGCTACCCTTCACTTAAAAATAAATTTTTAGGTGTTTTCTCTTCGAATAATATACCAAACATTGTAAGGAATAGACCTTTTTGTTTTGTTGCAAACACGATGCGGAAAGGTACGGTAGGTGAGCACTGGATTGCATGCTATTCAGATACTCCAGATACATTGGAATATTTTGACTCATTTGCCGAGGAACCAAATTGTGACATGAGACATTCAATGCTAGCCAATTTTTCCTTAGTGAAACAAAATAAATTTTCCTTACAATCTCCCTTGTCAGATACTTGTGGACATTATTGTATTTGCTTCCTCATCCTACGTTCAAAACAGGGTAATACTTTTTCATCCGTTCTTCAAAAGTTGCATTCAATCCCTTCGGAGGGGCGTGATTTTGTTTTAAAACGTTTTCTAGCCCGTTTATCGCTGATGCCTAGTATATAAGATAAGAAGTATTTAATTTCATAATAAAAAATGGTGTACCTTGTTTTTCTTATTTTCTGCCTTTATGCGGTTTACGCTTACGAGCAAAACGATAGTAATATTCTTTATCCTCTTCATGGACCAATTCCTCCAAATGTAAATGCCTGCTTTATCGTTGATAGGGCTCATGCCCTTTCGATAGGGCCTTCAGAAAATCCTAATAAAGATATGTTTCTATTAATAGCTTATGTCCTCGATTTGGTACTAATTTTTGTTTTGGCTGTAGTGTTTAAGGCACATGTGAATTTAAGAAGAAATGGAAATGGCGAACTTCCTGGAATTAGGTTTGCTAAAGGACCCCTTAGTATATAAGGTATAAATAATAAGAGCGGAAGATAATCAAGATGCGAACAAGCGACGACACGTCAGGAAGGAGTGAATCTTCCAAAATATCTCCGCCCTTGAAAACGGGTTCTCTTCTTCAGTTACTTTGTAAATTCAATGGAGGATGTACACCTGAATCATTGCACATCGAAATGAGAAAAAGATACAACGAAAATTTACAACACATACAAACACTTACAAGCATGACAAATGAAGATATCGCAACCGCGGGAATTGGACAACGTGAATTTTCTGATGGAAAACCTGGAAAGAAGTATTTAGTTACAAATCATTTGCGTCATATTCAGTTTGAAGTATATCCAAGTAAATTAACAATTATGGGCGCTGATCGTGTGTTTGCATTGCGTGGATACCTACGTGTGACTATTAGACAATATTTTTATGTTCGGCATCACATAGATCTCATCTATCCCCAGCTACCTTTGGTATGCGTTTTTGGCGGAAGAAACCACCAATATTTCTACCCTATTGAATGCTTAGACTATGTAGACTTTGAAGAACAGAAAAATTAATTTCATATAATTTTAAATTTTATTTAAATAAAGTTTGAAAAATTTTTATTCAAAAATTAATTATTTAAAAGATTTATTTTCTTTAATTATTTTTCTTTAAAATATTTTTTCTTCAAATTTATTATTTAAGAATTTCATTTGTTTAAAAATTTTATTTAAAAAGTTTATTCATTATTTTTATTTTTAAAAATTAATTTTAATCTATAGAATTGTATTTTTACGCTGCTTTTAAGACAAAACTTGTTTTGTCTTAAAAGTAGTGTATATACTACTGTTATATTCTGTTTCTTTAAGTCTCAAAACTTATGTCCTAAACTAATAAGGCAGATTTGAACTTTATCGATTTAGGAGGACATGTTATATTCTGTTTCTTTAAGACTCAAATCTTATGTCCTAAACTAATAAGGCAGATTTGAACTTTATCGATTTAGGAGGACATGTTATATTCTGTTTCTTTAAGACTCAAATCTTATGTCCTAAACTAATAAGGCAGATTTGAACTTTATCGATTTAGGAGGACATGTTATATTCTGTTTCTTTAAGACTCAAATCTTATGTCCTAAACTAATAAGGCAGATTTGAACTTTATCGATTTAGGAGGACATGTTATATTCTGTTTCTTTAAGACTCAAATCTTATGTCCTAAACTAATAAGGCAGATTTGAACTTTATCGATTTAGGAGGACATGTTATATTCTGTTTCTTTAAGACTCAAATCTTATGTCCTAAACTAATAAGGCAGATTTGAACTTTATCGATTTAGGAGGACATGTTATATTCTGTTTCTTTAAGACTCAAATCTTATGTCCTAAACTAATAAGGCAGATTTGAACTTTATCGATTTAGGAGGACATGTTATATTCTGTTTCTTTAAGTCTCAAATCTTATGTCCTAAACTAATAAGGCAGATTTGAACTTTATCGATTTAGGAGGACATGTTATATTCTGTTTCTTTAAGTCTCAAATCTTATGTCCTAAACTAATAAGGCAGATTTGAACTTTATCGCTTTAGGAGGACATGTTATATTCTGTTTCTTTAAGTCTCAAATCTTATGTCCTAAACTAATAAGGCAGATTTGAACTTTATCGATTTAGGAGGACATGTTATATTCTGTTTCTTTAAGTCTCAAATCTTATGTCCTAAACTAATAAGGCAGATTTGAACTTTATCGCTTTAGGAGGACATGTTATATTCTGTTTCTTTAAGTCTTAAATCTTATGTCCTAAACTAATAAGGAAGATTTGAACTTTATCGCTTACGGAGGACATGTTATATTCTGTTTCTTTAAGACTCAAATCTTATGTCCTAAACTAATAAGGCAGATTTGAACTTTATCGATTTAGGAGGACATGTTATATTCTGTTTCTTTAAGTCTCAAATCTTATGTCCTAAACTAATAAGGCAGATTTGAACTTTATCGCTTTAGGAGGACATGTTATATTCTGTTTCTTTAAGTCTCAAATCTTATGTCCTAAACTAATAAGGCAGATTTGAACTTTATCGATTTAGGAAAAAAAAAATCCTCCTGCCTTATTAGTTTAGGACATAAGATTTGAGACTTAAAGAAATCTGCCTTATTAGTCTGCCTTATAGACTTAAAGAAATCTGCCTTATTAGTTTTGGACATAAGATTTGAGACTTAAAGAAACAGAATATAACATGTCCTCCTAAATCGATAAAGTTCAAATCTGCCTTATTAGTTTAGGACATAAGATTTGAGTCTTAAAGAAACAGAATATAACATGTCCTCCTAAATCGATAAAGTTCAAATCTGCCTTATTAGTTTAGGACATAAGATTTGAGACTTAAAGAAACAGAATATAACATGTCCTCCTAAATCGATAAAGTTCAAATCTGCCTTATTAGTTTAGGACATAAGATTTGAGTCTTAAAGAAACAGAATATAACATGTCCTCCTAAATCGATAAAGTTCAAATCTGCCTTATTAGTTTAGGACATAAGATTTGAGACTTAAAGAAACAGAATATAACATGTCCTCCTAAATCGATAAAGTTCAAATCTGCCTTATTAGTTTAGGACATAAGATTTGAGACTTAAAGAAACAGAATATAACATGTCCTCCTAAATCGATAAAGTTCAAATCTGCCTTATTAGTTTTGGACATAAGATTTGACACTTAAAGAAACAGAATATAACATGTCCTCCTAAATCGATAAAGTTCAAATCTGCCTTATTAGTTTAGGACATAAGATTTGAGTCTTAAAGAAACAGAATATAACATGTCCTCCTAAATCGATAAAGTTCAAATCTGCCTTATTAGTTTAGGACATAAGATTTGAGACTTAAAGAAACAGAATATAACATGTCCTCCTAAATCGATAAAGTTCAAATCTGCCTTATTAGTTTAGGACATAAGATTTGAGACTTAAAGAAACAGAATATAACATGTCCTCCTAAAGCGATAAAGTTCAAATCTGCCTTATTAGTTTAGGACATAAGATTTGAGTCTTAAAGAAACAGAATATAACATGTCCTCCTAAATCGATAAAGTTCAAATCTGCCTTATTAGTTTAGGACATAAGATTTGAGTCTTAAAGAAACAGAATATAACATGTCCTCCTAAAGCGATAAAGTTCAAATCTGCCTTATTAGTTTAGGACATAAGATTTGAGACTTAAAGAAACAGAATATAATAATAATCCTATAATAATAATATAATAATAATAATAATATAATAATAATATAATAATAATATAATAATCCTAATATAATAATAATCCTCCTAAAGCGATAAAGTTCAAATCTGCCTTATTAGTTTAGGACATAAGATTTGAGACTTAAAGAAACAGAATATAACATGTCCTCCTAAAGCGATAAAGTTCAAATCTGCCTTATTAGTTTAGGACATAAGATTTGAGACTTAAAGAAACAGAATATAACATGTCCTCCTAAATCGATAAAGTTCAAATCTGCCTTATTAGTTTAGGACATAAGATTTGAGACTTAAAGAAACAGAATATAACATGTCCTCCTAAATCGATAAAGTTCAAATCTGCCTTATTAGTTTAGGACATAAGATTTGAGACTTAAAGAAACAGAATATGACATGTCCTCCTAAAGCGATAAAGTTCAAATCTGCCTTATTAGTTTAGGACATAAGATTTGAGACTTAAAGAAACAGAATATAACATGTCCTCCTAAATCGATAAAGTTCAAATCTGCCTTATTAGTTTAGGACATAAGATTTGAGACTTAAAGAAACAGAATATAACACGTCCTCCTAAAGCGATAAAGTTCAAATCTGCCTTATTAGTTTAGGACATAAGATTTGAGACTTAAAGAAACAGAATATAACATGTCCTCCTAAATCGATAAAGTTCAAATCTGCCTTATTAGTTTAGGACATAAGATTTGAGACTTAAAGAAACAGAATATAACATGTCCTCCTAAATCGATAAAGTTCAAATCTGCCTTATTAGTTTAGGACATAAGATTTGAGTCTTAAAGAAACAGAATATAACATGTCCTCCTAAATCGATAAAGTTCAAATCTGCCTTATTAGTTTAGGACATAAGATTTGAGACTTAAAGAAACAGAATATAACATGTCCTCCTAAATCGATAAAGTTCAAATCTGCCTTATTAGTTTAGGACATAAGATTTGAGACTTAAAGAAACAGAATATAACATGTCCTCCTAAATCGATAAAGTTCAAATCTGCCTTATTAGTTTTGGACATAAGATTTGAGACTTAAAGAAACAGAATATAACATGTCCTCCTAAATCGATAAAGTTCAAATCTGCCTTATTAGTTTAGGACATAAGATTTGAGTCTTAAAGAAACAGAATATAACATGTCCTCCTAAATCGATAAAGTTCAAATCTGCCTTATTAGTTTAGGACATAAGATTTGAGACTTAAAGAAACAGAATATAACATGTCCTCCTAAATCGATAAAGTTCAAATCTGCCTTATTAGTTTAGGACATAAGATTTGAGACTTAAAGAAACAGAATATAACATGTCCTCCTAAAGCGATAAAGTTCAAATCTGCCTTATTAGTTTAGGACATAAGATTTGAGTCTTAAAGAAACAGAATATAACATGTCCTCCTAAATCGATAAAGTTCAAATCTGCCTTATTAGTTTAGGACATAAGATTTGAGTCTTAAAGAAACAGAATATAACATGTCCTCCTAAAGCGATAAAGTTCAAATCTGCCTTATTAGTTTAGGACATAAGATTTGAGACTTAAAGAAACAGAATATAACATGTCCTCCTAAATCGATAAAGTTCAAATCTGCCTTATTAGTTTAGGACATAAGATTTGAGACTTAAAGAAACAGAATATAACATGTCCTCCTAAAGCGATAAAGTTCAAATCTGCCTTATTAGTTTAGGACATAAGATTTGAGACTTAAAGAAACAGAATATAACATGTCCTCCTAAAGCGATAAAGTTCAAATCTGCCTTATTAGTTTAGGACATAAGATTTGAGACTTAAAGAAACAGAATATAACATGTCCTCCTAAATCGATAAAGTTCAAATCTGCCTTATTAGTTTAGGACATAAGATTTGAGACTTAAAGAAACAGAATATAACATGTCCTCCTAAATCGATAAAGTTCAAATCTGCCTTATTAGTTTAGGACATAAGATTTGAGACTTAAAGAAACAGAATATGACATGTCCTCCTAAAGCGATAAAGTTCAAATCTGCCTTATTAGTTTAGGACATAAGATTTGAGACTTAAAGAAACAGAATATAACATGTCCTCCTAAATCGATAAAGTTCAAATCTGCCTTATTAGTTTAGGACATAAGATTTGAGACTTAAAGAAACAGAATATAACATGTCCTCCTAAAGCGATAAAGTTCAAATCTGCCTTATTAGTTTAGGACATAAGATTTGAGACTTAAAGAAACAGAATATAACATGTCCTCCTAAAGCGATAAAGTTCAAATCTGCCTTATTAGTTTAGGACATAAGATTTGAGTCTTAAAGAAACAGAATATAACATGTCCTCCTAAAGCGATAAAGT